TATGCTTTGGAGGAGGAGCTGTCAGGATTTGTAGATGGATTGTACATAGTTGGGGTGGGGTGGGGAGAAGGATGAAGAAAGAGGGGAACTCAAGGATAATGCTTAGATTTTTGGCTTAAACTACAGGGATGGCGAAGCAATTTATATTTTTTGTGCACCTGAATTCGTTGTATGAGATTTATACTAGACATCTTTGTGGTACACAGAGGGATTAAAAGACTCAAAACAACACTAAACAAGTCAGGAATACTTATAACACAATCTCAACTTCAGTAAAACAGTATCTCGTGGTATCTATAAAAGCATCCAGAATCACTATACAAGTCCCAGGATCATCCTTCAGCCGAGCTGCTGTTTGAAAGGAACCGTTTCCATTCTTGGTTGCCAGAGTGATCTTTTCCGAAAGGCAAATCCAGTCATGACACTTCTCCGTTTAAACACTGCACTTTGAATAAAATCCAAACTCCTCATCACAGTTCATAGGGGTTTGCATGATCAGGACCCTACCCACCTCTGCGGCCTCACAACCTACTGCCTTCCTGTGCTCATGACATTTTGGCCCTAATATCTTCAGATGGCACCTAGAATGTACCAAGCCCCTCCCTACCTCAGGGCCTTTGCACTTGCTATTCCCTCTGCCTGAAACATTCTTTCCCAACTCTTTGAATGCATGCCTGACTCATTCACATCCTTCAGGTCTCAGTGTATAGGTCACCTTCTCAACAGTCTGAGTGGGTCCCCTCTCCCTTTATCTGTAACACAGTATTCATTACAAACTGTAGTGTAGCTCAATTTGCTTTTCACTATCTGTCTCACTAGAATGTAAGCCCTGGGTGAGCAGAAAATGTGTCTGCCTTGTTATTTGTTCCTCCTAGAGCAGGTAAAGCCTGCAAGTCATACTGTACCTTGCCAAAGCTGCCTTTCCCCAGCACCATCAGGAAGTTAAAATCAGTCAGTTTCATCCGGTCCCTGTTGCCATTGTTGTCACATTTGGATATGGTGTTGGTTGTCTTTTCTTCTGGAGTCTTGGTCCCCTGACTGATCTTGGCCCTCTGGAGGGGGAAGCACATAGGAAACATCTTTAGGGTTTGAGGGTAGAGTTGTAGGATGACACATGTACACCCAGCAAGCTGTGGTTCCAGTGGCTCATGCACCCCATATTGGTGAAAAGCATGGCTGCACATCCATTCTGCAAGCCAGAAACCCGGAGGCCATCTCGGCTCCCCCATCTCTCTTTTATCCCTGGTGTCTCATCCATCACCAGGAACTGTCAAGTTCTTCCTCCTAGCTACCTCTAGACTTCATCTGCTTCCCTCCGTCTCCACCAACACCACCAGGCATCATCATCTCTCACCTGGATGACCCACTCGGGCTCCCTCCACACCAGGCCTGACGCTGTAGCCAGAGAGAGCTTTCACTCTGCCACACCCAGTCAAGGCACCTCCTGCTTAAAATGCTTCAGTCGCATCTCATTATTTTTAGGATAAGGACTTAGGTCCTTTCACTGGCCCATATGGCCCAGTATGATCAAGTTCTATCTGCCTCTCCAACCCAACATTTCTTGGGTCCTTCTTCTTGCACCCCAGTCTCATTCTCGTCTCATTTCCTTGAATGATCCTATCCCCTCCAACCTCAGGGCCCTTGCACCTGCTGCTGCTACTGCTTTGTGGATGGCGATTCTCTCCCCCTCTCCAACCTAGTTACCCCTGCTTCACATTTTCACTTCCTCAGGGAAGCCTTCCTTGATCCTCTCTGTCTGGATTAGGTGCCCTTCCTAGTTGCTCCCTTCATCCATTTATTCTCCATTTATATTGGATGCTAACTGTTCCCTTGTCTCCAACTAACAGATCAGAAACTGTGCGAGGGCAGGGAATATAGCTCATTCACCACAATTTTTCTGATGAGTATAGTTCCTGGCTAAATACATATTGAATAAATGGGAATAAATGGTACACCTCAGTGTAACGGGGAGAGGCTTGTTGCTGTGAGCAGCAAATGGAGGCTCTGAATCACTGCAAATGCTTTGGAGTGTGGCGAGAAGAGGTCATCAGCGAGAGACCTGCAACCACCAGGAGTTTGTCCTGGACTCGCTTTTGGGAATGAGAGAAGCGTGGAGTTGAAAGTTCAGGGTAGGCTCCTGACTTTGACGTGGACAAGCTGTGTGACCTGAGCAAGTCAGTCGGCTCATGGAGCCTATCATGGATTGAATTGTGTCCCCCCAAAACGTATGTCAATTTGGCTAGGCCATGATTCCCAGTATTGTGTGGTTGTCCACCATTTTGTCATCTGATGTGATTTTCCTATGTGTTGTAAATCCTGTCTCTATGATGTTAATGAGGCCAGATTACAGGCAGTTATGTTAATGAGGCAGGACTCAATCTACAAGATTACATTGTGTCTTGAGTCAATCTCTTTTGAGATATAAAAGAGAGAAGTGAGTAGACACAGGGGGACCTCATACCACCAAGAAAGTAGTGCCAGCAGCAGAGCATGTCCTTTGGACCTGGGGTCCCTGTGCTGAGAAGCTCCTAGACCAAGGGAAGAGTGATGACAAGGACCTTCCTCCAGAGCCGACAGAGAGAGAAAGCCTGTCCCTGGAGCTGGCGCCCTGAATTCACACTCCTAGCCTCCTAGACTGTGAGAAAATAAACTTCTGTTTGTTGAAGCTATCCATTTGTGGTATTTTTGTTATAGCAGCACTAGATAACTAAGACAGAGCCCCTCTGCCCAAACATCCCCACATCTTCCCAGCTCTCTTAGAGCACAAGCTAAAGGGGACAGGCGACCTGATGTCTCTGCTCCTTCTCCTTGTCATCTCGCTCACTCAGCTTCATCCTGGCCTCTCTGCTGGTCCTTAAATGCACCAAACCCCCCTCTGCCTCAGTGCCCGTGCACTCGCAGTTTCCTTTACCTGGAGTGATCTTTCTCCAGAGTTTCCTCACTTCTAATAAGAGACCCTATTCCCTGACCACCCTACATAAAACAGCTCCCAGCAGTCCCCGTGACCTACTTCACTTTCTCCCTATCACTTGCCATCCATCTTACAGACCATACATTTTCTTCTTTGTTAATTTACTGTCTTTCTCCTTCACTGGAACATAAGCTCCATGAGGACAGGCATTTTTTCTATTTTGTTCTCTGCTGTTTCCCTAGTGCCTACAGCAGTGCCTGGCATAGAGTAGGCACTGACTCGTATTTGGTAAGTGGGCCTCTCTAAACCTCAGCCCCCTTTTCTGAAAAATAGAGACAACAACAACATCAGATAATGCATTACATAGTTCTTAGCACCGTCCCTGGCACGTAGTAGATGCTTAATGAATGGTAGCTATTATGATTGTTGCATTATTCAGTTGTCTTTTGAAGACAAATCTTTCAGGGATTCTGATATCAGGGAAGATGCATTCAGCAGATACTTACTGAGTACCTGCTACGTGCAAGGTGCTACTCCAATTGCAGGCGATACATCAGGGAGCAAAACAGATAGACATGCTCAAAGAACTTGCATTCAAGCAGGGACTGGGTCCTCCACACTGAGCCCAAAAGATATGTCGGAGTTACCCAGGTGAAGAAGCTGGTGTCTGCAGCAGGAACGGTATTTATAGAGCAGAGAACGAGGTACGTTAAGAAATTTGTTGTTAGCTGCCATCGAGTCAGCCCCTGACTCTTAGAAAGAAATGCTGCCCGGTTCTGCGCCATCGCCATGATCGGTTGCAGATCAAACCATCATGGGCCATAGGGTTTTCATTGGCTGATTTTCAGAAGTAGATCACTAGGCCTTTCTTCCTACTCTGTCTTAGTCTGGAACTCTGAAGCTCCACTGAAACCTGTTCAGCATCTCAGCAACATGCAAGCCTCCACTGACAGATGAGACCCATTGGCCAGGAAATGAATCCAGGTCTCCCTCACGGAAGGCAAGAATTCTACCACTGAACCACCAATGTCCTCTACATTAAGGAACTAAACACTACTAATTCTGGCTGGAGCATGGGGTGCAAGGCACGCGTGGCCCGGGACACGGCCATAAAGGTTACAAGGACCTTATAAAACACACTAAGAAGTTTGTACTTGATTCTGAGGTTGATGGGTAGCTTCTGAAAGGTTTTAAGCAGGGCCATTACACTGAGAAGATCACTCTGGGTACAGGGAAGAGACTCATTTGGAGGCTGTGATGTTGGAGACCATTAGGAAGTGACTGCATAATCAAGGTGAGAAATGATGGGGCCTGGACTCGATGTCTGCCGTGTGGATGGAACAAAGTGGACCTGTTTGGGAGACAGAACTATCTGGGCTGGGTGATGGATTGGATGCAGGAGAAGGGGCATCAGGGATGAAGGCTAACTTCTGGTTTCTGTCTTGAGAACTAGAGGATAGTGCTTTTCACTGAGATGAGAAGAACTGGAGGAGGAGCAGGTTGGGAAGTGTGGGCAAGAGGGTAGGAAGAGTTGACTAGCTTGATTTCAGACATGTTGAGATTCCCCCTTCACAGTGGCTTCAAATTGTAAGGTTTATTTCTTCCTCACGGGATTCATGTTTCATTGTAGCCATTCAGGGACTAAGGCTGACAAAACACCCACCATTTTTTCTCTTTTTGTAATTCATGTTTTAAAAATTGAGATGGATACAAGGAAACGCACAAATCTTAAATGTACCATCCTGTGAATTCTGACAAATGTATACACCCATGTAACCCATAATCCCCTGCGTGGTGCAAACAGTTAACGCGCTCAGCTGCTAACCCAAAGGGTGGAGATATGAGTCCAACAAAAGGTGCCTTGAAAGAAAGGCCTAGCAATCTAATTCCAAAAAACTAGCCACTGGAAACTCTATGAAGCAGTTCTACTCTGACACACACAAGGTCACCATGAGTCAGAATCAACTAGACAGCAACTAGTTTTTGTTTATATTTTAACCCATACCTCAGTGAAGATACAGGACATTTCCATCATTCTCAGAAACTTCCCTCATGCTCCTTATCAGTCAATTCCACACCCTCGAAGGCAATCTCTATTCTGGTTTTTAGACCCATAGGTCAATTTGCCTGTTCATGAACTTCGCCTAAATGGAAATATTGAGCATCTTACCCTTTTGTGTCTGACTTCTTTCCCTCATCATAATGTTCTTGAGATTCAACATGCTGTTGTCGCATGAACCAGCAGTGTGTTCCTTCTACTTGCTGGTTGGCATCCATTGTTTATGTTCATCTATTCGCCTGTTTACGGGTATTTGGCTACTAATAAGGCTGCTGCAAACATATTTCATCAAGCTATTTTATAGTAGGAGCCCTGGTGGTGCAGTGGTTAAGAGCTCAGGCTGCTAACCAAAAGGCTGGCTGTTGAATCCACCAGCTTCTCCTTGAAAACCCTATGGGGCAGTTCTACTCTGTCCTGTAGAGTTGCTATGAGTCAGAATCGACTTGATGGCAACAGGTTTGGCTTGGGTAATTTTATAGTAAGGTATGTTGAGGCTTAAATGTCTCTAGGACAACCAAGTGCAAATATCCAACAAATAGTTGCATATGTGGTTTGGGGATTAAGAAAAGATATCAGAATTTGAAATAGATAAATGGGAACTATTGGCATAGAGGTCGTAGTTAAAACCACGACAGCATCAAAAACCAAAACGCCAAACCCGTTCCCATCGAGTCGATTCCGACTTACAGTGTCCCTATATGTGACAGAGTAGAACTGCCTCATAGGGTTTCTAAGGAGCAGTTGGTGGATTTGAACTGCTGACCTTTAGGTTAGCAGCCATAGTTTTTAACCACTGTGCCCCTAGGGCTCCATGAGAGCATCAGGGAGACTGCAAATAAGAAGAGCACCTAGAATAGAAGCTGCATTGGTTTTCTTGGGCCATGTTCTCCTGCAATCCCAAATCCTCACTCTCCAGTCCCGAGATTAGCCCAGGCTGGCCTGACATGAGCACGCTCCTTCCTGCCTCTCCACCCCACTGAATCCTGGCTCAAGATCCACTAGATTCATGCACTCTATTCTTCAGCCTGTGAAGGTCCAAGTCCTGACTGTCCCTGGGGCCCAGTTCCCATTTGCAGCCAGTG